AGGGGAACGTGGGAGCTCCGAAGTGAGAACCTGTATACTCCCAGCCTAGCCGCAGATTCAGTAAACAAGCGTAGGATTAGTCAATGTTCTTTATGCCTGGACCAAAGGGTAAAGAATATGTATACTCCTATTTAGCACAATACAATTTGAATTGATTCACTTTATCCATTCACTATAATTTCTTGACAAGGAGAAGGATGCTTTCTTATATATTGAATTTCACATTAAAAACTTTATTTGTATAATTATTTATTTAAGAGTTATCAAAATTATATATTTATTTCAATTGTTTATTAGTGTCAGATAAACAATTTGAATTACATTGTTGTGATTAAGTATTAATTTTCTAAAATTTTAGTTCGTAGTTCTAATATTACTCCCTGTGAGATCGATATCTAGGACTCCATTAGAGCCCTATATTACTTGAGCAATACGTAAACTTGCATTGATAAGTGTGACTTTACCATTATTAAATATTTTATATATACATCTTTATCGAATCTATAACCGTTATTAAGTTTTTGGTGCTGTTGCTGGGGAATTAAATCTTCTAGCAGCAGTATTAAATATTTTTATTTTTAAGCATATATAAAGTCGTTGTCACGCACAATTCTAGAAAATTGGCAAGATGTAAATTTGGATCTTGAGTTGGTGATCCCTCAAACTGATATTTGATACCATTTAGATTATAGCAAGTTTAAGATCAAATGAATTTGCCACTACAGTAGATTTTTGAATATTGCTAAGATTACAGTACATGCCTTTTATGAGGAAACAAAAATAAAAAGTATAATAACCAAAAAATATGAAAACTTCATACAATTGATGTGAAATAAAACTTTACATGGATCCTTTACGGAAAAAAATATTCAGTCGGGATAATTGTACTTGCGGACAACCAGGAGGACCTTATCACACTGCATGCACTATAACAATGATTTAAACCGTCACGTTTTCGGACGCCGAATATAACATTTTCTCACCTTTGTAGCACTTAAAAAAATTAAAATTCTAGGCATAGGTCTCCCTACAAGAGTAGGGGCATAACAGTAGCCTTCCTATGATTTGTCCATGCAATATATCCCCTTCTCTCGTATCATTAAAGCTTGTAAGTAGAAACATTGCTTCAATAGCAGGATTCCTCTTGGCCACTCTTTGCTCACCTGTAGCTGTCGCAAGGCAGGACGATGAGTGGGAGAAGCTGTTCAAGATACCCATTCACTGCTTCCCAATGGCAGGAGATGGAACACCAAGCGCTAATCTTTAAGTACATGGCTTCCGGCATTCCCATTCCTCCTGATCTTATCATCCCCATAAGAAGAAGTTTCCTCATTGACTCCAACGCAGCCACTCCTTCTCTTCCTTTCGTTCCTCACACGCAATGTAAGCTCTCCATTAAAAAGCTCTCTTCTTTTGCATTCTGCCAAATGCTCTTCTCCTCACTCTTCATGGTTTCAGTGGGGTGGAACTGCTTTCAGATGGGATACGGAAGGAAAACAGAGGACCCAGAGCCAGGGAGATGCAGGAGAACTGATGGAAAGAAATGGAGGTGCTCCAAGGAGGCTTACCCTGATTCCAAGTATTGTGAGAGACATATGCATAGGGGGAAGAACCGTTCCAGAAAGCCTGTTGAGATATCTCTTGCCACTAAACCAAGCCATTCCTCTTCCTCTTCTTCTAAACAAATGTCTCCTCATTCAGCAAATCTGTCAATCTCTGCTCCAGAGACTTGCCACCTCTTCAGCCCTTACGCAAGTATTTCTGAAACTCCTCCTTTCCAGTTGGATTCTGCAAACTACTCTGATAGGGAATGCAGGTGTGTTTCTTAAGTTTACTTCATTCTCATTCTCATTTTCGTTATTATTATTATTGGTTTTGTTGTTGTTTTTGTTTCTTTTCTATTGTATTATCTTCATTGTTGGATAATTTCAGGAGTCAGTGGGTGAGCTCCATGGCAGAAGCTAAACAGAGCAACTTCTTTCTGTCAAAGGAGGAAGAGGAGGAGAGGCAGAGGCCTCTGCGTCATTTCTTCGACGAGTGCCCAGAGAGGAACAAGGATCAATGGATGGACATGGAAGCTGAAAATAGCTCATATTACAAAACCCAGCTCTCCATCTCCTTCCAGAAATGGTTTTAAAATACTCATATCAACCAGTAACATCATTACTGCAAAAATAAGTTTTTTTTTTTTTTTGCTCTAGATATTCCTGAATTTTCTTTTTCTTTCTTTGCAGATTGATGACATGGCAAATGGGAGAAGAGGAAAAGATCTGATTTTTACCAAGTGCTATGATGGTTTTCAGTCCATTCACTGTTTAGAAGTCTGTTATTTTGTTTTTTGCTATGTTTATTCTTCAGTTTCTGAGGTGAGGAGAGACCTGGCTTTTTGAATTTTTTGTTTAGTTGCATGTTTTTCCTCTGCAAATGTGTGGTATTTGTTTTTTTTTCTCTTGTCTGCGAAACTCTGTGCAGTCCAAAGTTTTATGCTCTCTCTGTGTGACTAAAATCTGCTGCAAATCTGCTTTTATTGGTCCAACTCTCTGTTGCCAAAAGCTTTTGTACTTGAAAGGGCACGATTGCCATTTATTTGATCCCTTGCAAAAGGCTGCAAACTATTGCCGTGTTTTAAGATCCTTTCTAAATTTCTCATTTTTTGTTTTTCAGAGGCACAATGTGTAGGAATAGTGATTAGTACTAGGCAATTATAAATTTTTTTCAGTAAAATTAGTTGTAACTGCATATTTTATTTAAATGGATTTTGAAACTAAAATAAACAGGTTCTGCAAGTTTTTGAGTTAAAATATAATAAACTTTATTAAAGGAGAACTTTTTTGTTCAAATTATTTGTTTGACATGACTATCATTATGATGGGTGCGGAGGTATTTTTGAAAACGTCGTGGTACTATTTGAATCGTGGTTTTCTCCGTTTATCCGAAAACTCAAATTATTTGTTTGACATGACTATCATTATGATGAGTGCAGAGGTGTTTTTGAAAACGCCGTGGTACTATTTGAATTGCGGTTTTCTCCGCTTATCCGAAAATGCGGTTCTATTTTTATACTAAAAGTAGATCGCGGGTCGAACCTCCGGTGGACCCGTGGGTCGCATTTCAGGATAAACTGTTTATCCTGAAATGCATAAACTTACTCAAACGCACCCTTAATATATTTATATTTGTATTTATTTTTATGCATGTATATGCAATTATCTTCAAATTTATTGAAGCAATTTATGTTCCGGTGATTGTTTGTTCGGTCAGACTAAAATAAGTTCAGATCATAATTGGAACAATTTTTAATGTCAGATCATAATTGCTTCGAAATAAATGAAACTACTCTAGCTTGAATCTAAATTGAATTGAGCCAGCCTTTATATGATCATTGATGAACGGAATTGAATGAGTTTTTGAGCCATAACCACTCAACAGAAACTCCCAATGCATTATATTTATATGATCTTTAAGAAAAAAATAATTCAATGATTATAGAAATATTAACTAAGAAAAGTTATAATCATAACTTTGAACCCTGGTTATGATTTTAAGAAATTGAGTATATCATTTCAACCTCTACAAAATATCTTCATTTTTTTCAAATGTATGCTGACAATCATGTGAACAAATGTTTAATTCTTATTTAAATTAATGTTTTAATAAATTAATGGTTTAACTTTGAAAAAATTATTCTTGATGCGTCATCAAGAAAATTTTATTGCCTAACATGAATCTTCATGCATTTTTTGAGTAAAAAACATTCTAAATTCACATTCAATATCATCCAGATTCTTTGATTTCAACAAGTTTATAGTCAAACTAGCCGATTGAAGAAATGTGCCCAACGATATAAAGGTTGGGTCAATCCAAGTTCAATCAAACCAAGATCAAGCCATTAAAATAATTTAGAGGCTTTAGATTATCAATTGTATGATCAAATTAACTCCAAATTTGACAAATTTATAGTCAAATCATGCATCTTGATGAGAGGAATCTACTTGCCAAAGATTGTCAATTTTGAGGTTATTATGACTGTCAAATAGTCAAAAGATCATATAATCAAAGGGGATCAATATATCAGTCTGGTCAGGTGGTTAGGGTACTTTTGCACCAAAAGATCAAATACCACTTCCCAAATGCTTATAAATAGAACCATTCTCTTTAAATGAAGAGGAGAGAAGAAGAAGACAAATTTTAAAGCCTATAATAGAAATAAGATAACGTGATAACCACCATTTCCATGGCCACTAACCATCGTCGACCACCGTCCGACATCCACCATCAGCCACAATATGTAGCTTTCAACCACCGGCCGTTTGCGACCCTTGTTTGTAGCCGTTGTTTTCCATATACTGTTGTTGTGTCTAATAACTATAATGTAGATCCAAAAAACAACCACAAGCTTTCATGGTTGTCGATCACCATTGAACTTTGTGAGTTAGCTACTCTAAACCACCGCCTACAACCACCACACACCGTTGCCAACCAACGATATCTTGCAAAACCCTGGTTGCAATTGTCGTAGTCAGAATATGACCTTTATTTCTAACACCTATACTTTTTGCATTGTAGACAACCATAATTTTCAATGTTAATTTGTAACCCTCTTCTCCCAGGTGCAAGAGTGGTGCACCATTGTACTTACTTATAGTGGATTATTTTAAAAGCCGAGTCGCTAATTTAAACATCAATTGTCAATATTAAAATCTTTTATTTTCAAAATAACACTGTTAATTATTTCTCGAACACTTGAAGAATATTAAATTATTAAATATCCTATTTTAATTTTCAGTAAGCTTGAAATACATCATTTAAACAAGCTATTTAATTATTAATACTAACATACATATCCGTGCATGGTCCTAACTAATGTGGGTCAAAACCCATCAATCTCGAATCATGATTTATGCACTACACTTTGGCTCTTTATTTCCCATCACTTATAGACTCGTTTGGGCTTCACTAAAATGGATCCAACTTGATAATACACATTATAGTGTACCATTAATCTTTATATTATTAAGTAAAAGATTAATTATATTTTGTTGGATACTTTTTATATGTAAAATGAAATAAATAATTATAAAAAAATATATACCTTCTAATGTTACAAACGTCGTGGATTGGCTGCGCATGAGATCCACAAATCTCAAATTTTTAGTGAACTCTATTGAACCACTTCCTTCCTATAGCACTTATATCATGTTCCATGAAGAAAGTATGGTAGTGCTTCTTCATAGACCCAAAATTTCAGAACTTTTGAGCATAGTCAAAGCCAACTATTTAATAATTTTATTGAAGTTTGTGGTTCTTATAATTTTTATTCATTTTGTATTTTAGATAGATTAGTAAAACCACAACCACAACTTCTCGCATATTACTCGGAGAGGTTATCGATGGTGAAATGCCACGATCACTAAATTGTGCAGCATGGAAAGGTTTACAATCATGCAAATGAGAAGGCTCAATGGTTTGAAATCTTCAAAATCTTCAAGTCGAACATGGAGTACATAGAGGGCTGCATTGTCAGGAAGCACAAGCACTTGCTCGATATCAATCAATTCACAGACATAAGCAACAAAGA